CTCTACTTTCCAACGAAGTTTGGCTTTCTTCGCATCCAACTAAACCGTGAATATTCGAAAACTTAATTCTGCTAAACTTCGAAACGGCAGATTCTATCCTCTTGCATGAGGAAGACTATGATAGGGGGTCTAGGAACGAACTGTGAATATTGAGGGAGACTATGATAGGGGGTCTAGGAACGAACTGTGAATATTAACGAATCGCACAGACTATCGACAACTTATCTATTAGGAGCAAAAACAAAATAATGGTTACTTCTTTCTAATCAAACCAATAATGAATTTTGTCTTATTCCGTTCAAAGAAGCACAAAGAAGTGTTACTCTTAGAAATGGTCTTTCCATCAGTTGTTAGACGGATTCTTAAATTTTAGCAGCAAAGCTGAGCTACAAGAACGACGTATTCATAACGTGTATCAGATGTCAAGTAAAAGAATTAACGTAAGTCTTCACCTAGGATAGTAAACAAATAATGTTGAGGGTTCGTGTCGCGACAAAAAAAAAAATGACTGATTTCGTGTCATTAAAAAGTTAGATAAGCATGAAGTTCAATCAAAAGCTGGGACTGTTAAGACGGAGAAAGTGTGGAAAATTTTTTACTTGTCTTGGGCAGTCGTCCCATATTTCGCATCCTTCAGAACCTGTATCCTCTTCAATCGGCGTATCGGGTAACGGGTATCGCTTAATTTTGTAGTCGTCGTTGTCGTATTTCTCAACAACCAATTTATAACCGCGACCCTCAAAACGCTTTGAAAAAGTGCCTTCCTTGAAGGCCTCCCTCCTGACCAGTTCACTTAATTTTACAACATTGCATTTCAGATTAGTGGTTATTTGTTCCTCTTTTTCGTCCTGGCTATCCAAGCTGCTCGTATTAGCATTTCCATTCAAATTATGTTCTGATCGTTGATCATTATCGTCGTCATCGGACGATACTGGATGGTTCTCCATCTTCCCTTTTGATAAATCAGAACTGAAATGATTTTTAGGCGTAACATCGTTACAACCAATGTAAAAAAAAGCATAAGACGATAAAGGCTATAAGATTGGTACTATGATGGAAGAAAAATTTAACAGTGATTTTAAAGAGGCAAGATGTTTTTCAAATGAAAGTTAGCCTTCGACGTTTTCAACCAACATAAGACTGAGTGATCAGTGTGCGAAATACCGCTAGGCTATAGTGTACAGCAAAGCTCTTAAGCTACTTTATCAAAAAAGAAAACTCAAATAAATTAAAGCTAAAGACATTCCAAACTTTAGCCACCTCTCACCAAAACACTGCAGGACATTAAATGTTTCGTTGCCGTTTGTTGAGTAGGCCGAATACGGACTTCCTAAGTTCGGTCAAGGCTGATCTTCGTACTCAGATCACTGTAAACAAAATATTAGTGTAACAACCCTGAGAGGACATAATTGAATCTGTTTAAAAAGCGCCATTTGATGCAGAAGATATCTGTGTTGAGGTGGTAAACTACTTTTCGGTTGTTTTATCCAGTAGCATTTTTTGACTGTTTTTTTGCTATTTATTTTTTGACAACGGTCTCATAATCATCATAACTCTTTAATTTTGCAAAAAAGAAAAAGAAAAAAAGAACTTATTTTCCCACACCTATCAGTCAGATCTGTGATTCAGATAAAGCTTAAATGGCTTACATTTGTTGTCAGGTTTTAGCGACACAATAGTTGCCTAGGAAATTTTTGATGAGAATTTTTTTCGCAGTTTTTTCGACTGGTTTAAATGTTTATTTCGAAAAATTGTAGTGAATGAATGAAAAAAAACAGGAAAAGTTTTTAAGTCTTTAAAAATCTGCAGGTGTTTTTCTAGATGTTGCGTAAGAGAGGTTTGTCTTGAAAATGGTTGAGTAAAAAAAGAAGTGGCGATTTGCTGAGTTATTGTGAAGTGATGCAGCTATTCCTGGTTTATTTGGTTTCCAATGTCAAAATCTGATGACTTGCTAGGAATAATCCCTCTTAACCTCTGGCCATGTTTATTGCCAGAATTTTTCAAAAAAGTGGCTTTTGGAAAAAAAGCTATCTGTATTCAAAATGTTCAACTTAACCTAAATTTCAACTGGTTTGTTATTTTTTTTTTTATAACGGTCTTCAAGTTATATTTACATTTATTTACGTACTGTATCGTGGTCTTATTCTGCAGCTAGTCATTTATGTAGAGATAACGAAGACACGTTTGCTAAATAAATTTTGAACAGCTGCTGCTTCATTCTGCAGTTAAAAACTTCTGAACTTATTATTTCTAGTTGCATTCCATTTCCCGTTCTGTAGGCATTGGATCAAGTGTCTGTGGCTTAGAAAATGTTTTTGTATCATTACATCACCTACTGAATTTTCTTCCATTAAAAGAATCAGAGACGAAAAATTTACCTTTTCCTGAGCAAAACATACTCTAAAGACCACATTTTTTTCACATAGACAAAAATTTTACGTTTACAAAAATATTTCTGGAGTGAAACCATATTTTAAACTGTGGTATATGTCCCAGTGAAGATTGATATACCTAGTTTCTACTAAATTCACTAATTATCTTCTTTCGAAGGTGGGGTTTTCTACAAACTTTAGTTTTACGATGCTTGACAGAGAAGCTCCTCTTGCAAAATTCTTCTGCGCTTACCATTTATTACATGCCATCGTTGCAGAGCACTCTCATTTTTGTGCTTTTTTCTTCGCCTTTCAAGTTGAACTCTAGATTATGTTCGATGTATACGACTGTAGTATTTGTAATTTATCACCATTGATCGCCCCTCTACCGGATTCTTTATACAAAGAGAGCAATAGTGAAACTGGAGCCAGTCCGAAAAAACTAACCTTAGAAGCGTGCACCCGCACCGGTTCAAAATCAAACCGTTATTGCGCCACTGGGAGCGCCTATGCTAATTTTTGTTACTTTTTTATAAAAATCGCTACCAATTCAAGTCATGACATCAAAAAATCAGTCAGTTGGAGATGCATTCAATCCCACTTTGTCTTTATAATTGAAATGAATTTAAATGCAAATTTGAGACCAATAACTACACAGAATTCTCTGCCCCGAAAAACGAAAAGGTTAAAAACTTACCATCATTTGTCAGTGACCTGCATTTAGATCACAAGAACGCAGCTTCACAGTTTGAAATTATTTAGGTAGGTTATTTTCTTACTGATATTATATTTATCGCGTCAATAAGCTGCGTGCGTACTTCCTGGTACGGAAATTTAAATTAGCATGTAATAAAATGAGGCAACCGTGCAGTATAAATGTTAAAAAGTAAAAGTTCCAAAGCCCTTGCTTCGGAAAGGTCAGACGTAAAATCCTTCGATGATGAAAAGTTTTAGGAAGCATTTATAGTCAGGAGACTGGTGCTGAAACGGAGAGGTTTTTTGCTTCATGTTTACCATAGCAGTCAAACTAGCAATCAAACATGAGCCTCCTGTACTGCAGAGATAGGTTAATTAAGACTTGCATGAATCACTTGCTTCTTAATATCCCAAACCTGAAACAGCCGAATACGAATTAAACTCCAAAACTAGAAAAGAAATAGCCTTAAAGAAAAATTTAGTTGAAATTCAATCAAACTCTTTTCTGCAACAAGTCTGCACTCGTATTTTTGCTGAAAAAACTGATTTTGTATACTCCATAGCTGTTGAAATTGTTAAATTTATGGCCCACAAAAGCCCTCTCAAGTTGTTCATTCTGTTTTTCTCAAAGTGGAAATTTCATAACAGTCAAAGTATCTTGCTGTTTCAGGGTAATCACGGTAAACAGTAGCAGAATGGAATGAAGGAAAAAAATTATTCTCCTGTCATTATGAGAGATTTCCAGCGCATCTGTTAATGTATTTTTAGATAAAAAGGGGGTTTTTATTTTTAAAGTAGCATTTTGTTTCACTATAATTTGGAAAATATACAAGGGTTTGGTGTAAGGGTGTGGGCCAAAGAAAACGCTCATTTTTAAAAACCCACTAGTTTTAAACCAGAAACCCGCAAACGAATAGCAGTGACTGACACTAACCGCGAGAAGTTGGTATGACTAGTAAAATGGAGTCTTACTGGCAGTAGTACGACGCAGAGAATCTTGACAATTTAAGAATGGAAGAGCATTCTAACAATTGGGCAACGTTGGATTCAGTCCTGCCTGTGTTCTAATGTTCATGTATTTAGTTTACCAAATAAAGTGACAAAAAAAAAAAAAAAAAAAAAAAAA